TGATATGTTTGTCCTGCACACATATCAATTGTGACACTAGCTCTCCACATATGTCAGTTGCTTAATTTAGAAACTGTACTTGTGGTCGATCTCGAACCCATTGTTGATGTGACGACTTGTACTGAATTTTGTAACTAGCTCATAAAGATTGTAACTTGCTTAGCTAAATGAATTGTGGGGTTCAGTCCCTGAGCCCATTATGTGCCTCTGTAACCCTTTCCACTACCGCCCACACGATGGGTATGGGGTGCATAATAAATGAACTAAATTAACTTCTTGGCCTACTATGCAAGGCCCAATTTGCCTAATAGGCCGAGGGATTTTCTTTATTTTCAAATAATTGTTTCCATTTGGTTTATTTTAATATTATTATTAGATTATTTTAAGAACATAAATTATTGATTTAGTTATGTTAGTTTAGGTTAGGTTAAGGTAGGTTAGGTAAGGTAGGTTAGGTTCAGGTCATATATCTACGTTAGTTTTAACCTAAATTAAAACAAATTAACTCATACATAATGAAATGGACAACTTTATCATTTCATAAGAAAAAAATTACAAAAATATTTAAATTCAGGAAAACTTGGCTTACTAGGCAAATCGGGCCTTGCATAGTAGGCCAACTACTGCATTCTGGCTACTAGGTACAACATATATATATATATTATATATATAAATATATATAAACTTTTTCTTCCGTAAACATTCCCAGGTGGGTCAAGCGCGTCTCCTTGTGACCTCAAATGGATGGGTGACCCACAGGCGCTGTTGCTCATGGTGCAGGTCAATGATACGACGATGCAACATACCCGCCCCCCCCCCCCCCCCATGTCACGGCGACTTGTGTGCACTACAGTACTTGTATTTAGTGTATGGTACGACCCCCCCTCCCCCCCCCCCTCCATCACTCCTTACATTATTGATTTGCAACGCCGGGTGGCAGGTGGGGGGGGGGGGGGGGTGGCAGGTGTTGGGGGGTGACAGATTTGGTAGTGTTGGGGATGTCTGTATGGCCCTCCCACACATGGAGGGGTCCCCCCCCCATCTCTCTTTCACCAATGATGACGCTCTTCAAGACGCTAGTGCTCTCTAGAGTGGAGTACTGCTGCACAATGACAGCCCCTTTCAAAGCTGGAGAAATTGCTGACCTGGAGAGCGTGCAGAGATCCTTTACTGCTAGAATCCACTCAGTAAAACATCTAAATTACTGGGACCGACTAAAGAGTCTAAACTTGTTCTCCCTTTAGCACAGGCGGGAGAGATACATAATAATTTACACACATGGAAGACATTAGAGGACCTGGTCCCAAACCTGCACACAGAAATAACATCACATGAGACGAGAAGACATGGCAGGATGTGCAGAATACCCCCGTTGAAGAGCAGAGGTGCAACAGGTACTCTGAGAGAGAACTCTATCAACATCAGAGGCCCGAGACTGTTCAACGCGCTTCCACTACACATAAGGGACATAACTGGCCGACCCCTCACAGTGTTCAAGAGAGAACTATCAACATCAGAGGCCCGAGACTGTTCAACGCGCTTCCACTACACATAAGGGACATAACTGGCCGACCACTCACAGTGTTCAAGAGAGAACTATCAACATCAGAGGCCCGAGACTGTTCAACGCGCTTCCACTACACATAAGGGACATAACTGGCCGACCCCTCACAGTGTTCAAGAGAGAACTATCAACATCAGAGGCCCGAGACTGTTCAACACGCTTCCACTACACATAAGGGACATAACTGGCCGACCCCTCACAGTGTTCAAGAGAGAACTTGACAAACACCTCCAAAGGATACCTGATCAACCAGGCTGTGACTCATACGTCAGGCTGCGAGCAGCCGTGTCCAACAGCCTGGCTGACCAGTCCAGCAACAAGGAGGCCCTGGTCGGGGACCGGACCGCGGGGTCGTTGATCCTCGGAACCTTCATCTGGGTTTTTTTTTGGGGGGGGGGAGTAAAGAGGAAGGAGAGGCATAGGTGAAGGGAAGTATAGAAGTGGGAAATACAGTGAGAGGTATGAAAGCAGGCGGGCTGTCCGCCTTGCTGACACGATGTGTGGGTGTTGGCAGCTAAGCTAAGCTGGCTCCCTCTTGTCAGGGAGCTGTGAGTGTGTGAGAGGTTCTTCACATGTGTTTCACCATATATGGATGTCCATAGATGAATACTGTGTAGCATTCATATATACACACTCCGATGCTTCCACACATGTTATTCTGTTTAAGGCTCTTTATTTTATTATTATTATTTATCGAGTTGTTCATACATACACATATATGAACTGTTCATATATACACATATATATCTCATCTGGGGATTATATACTGTGGGGCGGGGTTTTCATCCAGAGAATCGAGGCTCTTGGGCCACCAATTGTGGGAGCGGGACGTCTCATCTTGGGCCACCAGCTGTGGGAGTGGGGCGTCTCATCTCATCTTGGGCCACCAGCTGTGTCTCATCTTGGGTGTGGGGCGGGGCGTCTCATCTTGAACCACCAGCTGTGGGAGCGGGGCGTCTCATCTTGGGCCACCAGCTGTGGGAGTGGGGCGTCTCATCTTGGGCCACCAGCTGTGGGAGCGGGGCGTCTCATCTTGGAGTAATCTTTCTAACATTGGGTCCTCTAACATTTCGATGGTGTTCCACACCCTGATGGCTTGGTGCTGCAGTCTGATGTTTAGTGACTGTGTGTTCAGGAGTTCGTGGAGCTCCTGGATTGTCTGATCATATGGTGGACGGTGTTTTGCTGCTCTCCTTAGCGCCTTATTTTGTACTGCTTGCAGTTTCTGCATGTTAGTTTTCTTTATGGTGTGTAGTGGTACTGGGGGATACTCTAGATGCGGCCGAACTAGAGCCTTATATAGGTGGATCTGAATGTTAGTACCGAGGCTTCGGAATAATCTTAGCTTTCCTAATGGAATTTCCTTCTGCGCCTCCTCCCTCCTCCCTTTCCCTCACACATCCCTGTGAGAGCGGATCCCTGCCCCTTCCTACCTCCCATCCGGCCTCTGCTCCCCCTACCTCCCATCCGGCCTCTGCTCCCCCTCCCTCCCATCCGGTCTCTGCTCCTCCTCCCTCCCATCCGGCCTATACTCCTTCCTCCCTCCCATCCGGCTCCTACCTCCCCCCTCCCTCCCTCCCTCCCTCATTTATCTCCCATGTGCACACACGGGCCGCCGAGCGCGTTCGCGCACACACGTGCGAACATACACACCTACTGCATACATACCTACGCCCCCCCCACACACACACAGGTGTGTGAAATGGAACATCTGGAGCATCTGGAGCGAAAGAACTTTGTAACACAGCATCAACATGGGATTGGCAGTTCCTGCCTCACAGGGCTAATTGAATTCTACGACCAGGCAACAAAAATCAGGCAAGAAAGAGAGGGAAGGGCAGACTGCATATTTTTGGACTGCCAGAAAGCCTTTGACACAGTACCACACAAGAGGCTAGTGAGAAAGCTGGAGATGCAGGCTGGAGTGAAAGGGAAGGTACTGCCTTGGATAAGGGAGTACCTAAGCAACAAAAGACAGCGAGTCACTGTGAGGGGTGAGGTCTTCGATTGGCGAGACGTCACAAGTGGAGTCCCGCAGGGGTCAGTCCTTGGACCTATACTGTTTCTGATTTTTTTTTTTTTTTTGAGATATATACAAGAGTTGTTACATTCTTGTAGAGCCACTAGTACGCGTAGCGTTGCGGGCAGGTCCCTGGAATACGATTCCCGCCGCGAAGAACCGTTGTTACAACCAAGTACACATTTTACTGTTGAGTTAAATAGAGGCTACAGTTAAGGATTTGCGGCCAGTAAATCCTCCCCGGCCAGGATACGAACCCATGCCAGATATATGTAAATGATCTCCCAGAGGGTATAGAATCGTTTCTCTCAATGTTTGCTGATGATGCAAAAATTATGAGGAGGATTGAAACAGAGGAAGATAGTAGGAGGCTACAAGATGACCTAGACAGACTGAGTGCTGAGACTCAGACAGACTGACAGTCCAACAAATGGCCGTTGAAGTTCAACCCGAGTAAATGCAAAGTAATGAAACTAGTCAGTGGAAACAGGAGGCCAGACACAGGATACAGAATAGGAGATGAAGTACTTAATGAAACGAACAGAGAGAAAGATCTAGGAGTTGATATCACACCAAACCTGTCTCCTGAAGCTCACATAAAAAGAATAACGTCTGCGGCATATGCGAGGCTGGCTAACATCAGAATCTGTGTAAGGAATCATTCAGAATCTTGTATACCACATATGTAAGACCAATCCTGGAGTATGCGGCCCCAGCATGGAGCCCGTACCTTGTCAAGGACAAGACGAAGCTGGAAAAAGTTCAGAGGTATGCCACTAGACTGGTCCCAGAACTAAGAGACATGAGTTACGAAGAAAGGCTGCGGGAAATGCACCTTACGACACTGGAAGACAGAAGAGTGAGGGGGAGACATGATCACAACCTACAAAATCCTCAGGGGAATTAACAGGGTAGACAAGGATAAACTGTTTAACACGGGTGGTACGCGAACAAGGGGACACAGGTGGAAACTGAGTACCCACATGAGCCACAGAGACGTTAGAAAGAACTTTTTCAGTGTCATAGTTAGTAATGGAATGCATTAGGCAGTGATGTGGTTGAGGCTGACTCCATACACAGTTTCAAATGTAGATATGACAGAACCCAATAGGCTCAGGAACCTGTACACGAAATGATTGACAATTGAGAGGCGGGACCAAAGAGCCAGAGCTCAACCCACGCAAGCACAAATAGGTGAGTACACACTAACAGCGCTCGGAGGTCGTAGTCCTTTGGGCCCGGGTTCGACTCCTAGTCGAGGCACAAACAAATGTGCAGAGTTTCTTTAAACTTGTGGACGGTCGGGGATTGAACGCCGACCTGCAAGAAGCGAGACCGTCGCTCTACCGTCCAACCTGAGAGGTGAATAAACAGGAAATTATAAGGAAATTTGCGAGGAACTGAAGGCCAGCTTGGATGGAGCGGCCACAAGTGGAGGAGGCAGCTGCCAGTGGTGGGAGAGGAGTGGAGGAGGCAGCTGCCAGTGGTGGGAGAGGAGTGGAGGAGGCAGCTGCCAGTGGTGGGAGAGGAGTGGAGGAGGCAGCTGCCAGTGGTGGGAGAGGAGTGGAGGAGGCAGCTGCCAGTGGTGGGAGAGGAGTGGAGGAGGCAGCTGCCAGTGGTGGGAGAGGAGTGGAGGAGGCAGCTGCCAGTGGTGGGAGAGGAGTGGAGGAGGCAGCTGCCAGTGGTGGGAGAGGAGTGGAGGAGGCAGCTGCCAGTGGTGGGAGAGGAGTGGAGGAGGCAGCTGCCAGTGGTGGGAGAGGAGTGGAGAAGGCAGCTGCCAGTGGTGGGAGAGGAGTGGAGAAGGCAGCTGCCAGTGGTGGGAGAGGAGTGGAGAAGGCAGCTGCCAGTGGTGGGAGAGGAGTGGAGAAGGCAGCTGCCAGTGGTGGGAGAGGAGTGGAGAAGGCAGCTGCCAGTGGTGGGAGAGGAGTGGAGAAGGCAGCTGCCAGTGGTGGGAGAGGAGTGGAGAAGGCAGCTGCCAGTGGTGGGAGAGGAGTGGAGAAGGCAGCTGCCAGTGGTGGGAGAGGAGTGGAGAAGGCAGCTGCCAGTGGTGGGAGAGGAGTGGAGAAGGCAGCTGCCAGTGGTGGGAGAGGAGTGGAGAAGGCAGCTGCCAGTGGTGGGAGAGGAGTGGAGAAGGCAGCTGCCAGTGGTGGGAGAGGAGTGGAGAAGGCAGCTGCCAGTGGTGGGAGAGGAGTGGAGAAGGCAGCTGCCAGTGGTGGGAGAGAGGAGTGGAGAAGGCAGCTGCCAGTGGTGGAAGAGGAGTGGAGAAGGCAGCTGCCAGTGGTGGAAGAGGAGTGGAGAAGGCAGCTGCCAGTGGTGGAAGAGGAGTGGAGAAGGCAGCTGCCAGTGGTGGAGAGAGGAGTGGAGAAGGCAGCTGCCAGTGGTGGGAGAGAGGAGTGGAGAAGGCAGCTGCCAGTGGTGGGAGAGAGGAGTGGAGAAGGCAGCTGCCAGTGGTGGGAGAGAGGAGTGGAGAAGGCAGCTGGCAGTGGTGGGAGAGGAGTGGAGAAGGCAGCTGCCAGTGGTGGGAGAGGAGTGGAGAAGGCAGCTGCCAGTGGTGGGAGAGAGGAGTGGAGAAGGCAGCTGGCAGTGGTGGGAGAGGAGTGGAGAAGGCAGCTGCCAGTGGTGGGAGAGGAGTGGAGAAGGCAGCTGCCAGTGGTGGGAGAGAGGAGTGGAGAAGGCAGCTGCCAGTGGTGGGAGAGAGGAGTGGAGAAGGCAGCTGGCAGTGGTGGGAGAGGAGTGGAGAAGGCAGCTGCCAGTGGTGGGAGAGGAGTGGAGAAGGCAGCTGCCAGTGGTGGGAGAGAGGAGTGGAGAAGGCAGCTGCCAGTGGTGGGAGAGGAGTGGAGAAGGCAGCGTATTACCGGGGATGTTAAGAGAGGCAGCGCGGGCCCTCAACACAGGCTCTAGTTATTATCTTCAATGAGTAACTGACAAAGGATGAATTACCCAAATGCTGGAAGCAGTAACTGTGGTGCCAGTTGACAATAATGGAGACAGAAGTGGCACTGTTGAACACCCCCCCCCCTCCCCTCCCCTGTTAGTGCTCCTAAGAACACTAAGGATAAGGCTAGTTATACACACCTGGAGAGCATCAGGTGTGTCAGCAAACATGAACACGGCTTTAGGGAAGGGGAATCATGCCTGACAAACCTACTCGAGTTCCGCGCTACAGTAACGAAAGTAAGGCCCGACAGAGAAGGTTGGGCAGCCTGTGTAATTTTTGGACTGCCAGAAAGCCTTCGATACAGTCCCTAACAATAGATTACTACACAAATTCTAGAGAAAGGCGAGAGCAAGCGGGAAAAGCATTAACAAAGGTAAAGGGTTACCTGTACCTTTGTTAACTTTAAGACAGGAGTCAGAGCAATGGTAAGGGGACGAGAAATCGGACTGGCGTAACAGGCGGAGTCCCTCAAGGATCGCTGTTGCGACCCATACTAATGTCCATTTATGCAAATGACCTGTTTGCAGGAGTTGAGTCTTATATGTCGATACTTGCAGATGATGCAGCACTAATGAAGACAGTTGTGACAGATGAGGATGTACGATTCTCCAATAACAATTAAACAAGTTACAAAGTAGGTCACAGAAAGGGCAACTGGAGTTCAACACCAACAAGTGTAAGGTGACGGAAACAGGAACAGGTTCAAAGAGGCGAAAGGACGGTACACAATGAAGGAAAACAACCCCCTTATAACGACTTGAGAAGAAGTCCCAGGAGTGGACCCAACACCGAGTCTAACTCCAGAGGGTCGCGTATAAAGAACAACGTCTGGAACATTCTCCACACTAACAAATGTCAGATCCTTCTGTAACATAAATAATGAGGCGTTTAGATCGCTGTACACCGCCTACGGCAGACCACAGTACGCCGCCCCAGCCTGGAGCCCCACCTAAAAAAACACCCTAACAAATGGAAGGGAACTATCAGGAAAAATGGCAAACAATTATGACTATATAGCACTGAGAAGAGATCAAGGATTTGGGATGGGAGAGCGGGATGGAATGGTGCCCAACCACTTGGACGGTCGGGGATTGATCGTCGACCTGCATGAAGCGAGACCGTCGCTCTACCGTCCAGCCCAAGTGGTTAGGCAGGACACAGATGGAAACTGAGTACCCACATGAGCCACAGGGACGTTAGAAAGACCTTTTTCAGTGTCAGAGTAGTTAACAGGTGGAATGCATTAGGCAGTGATGTGGTGGAGGCTGACTCCATACACAGTTTCAAGTGTAGATATGACAGAGCCCGATAGGCTCAGGAATCTGTACACCTGTTGATTGACGGTTGAGAGGCGGGACCAAAGAGCCAGAGCTCAACCCCCGCAAACACAACTAGGTGAGTACAACTAGGTGAGTACACACACACACACACACTGTAAACACAAACAAACTACAGTCATTAGCAACATTTTTCTCACATAGTTGCCGATTAAATCACCGTAGAGAAGTCTCAAAGTCTCCGTGGACCCCTGCAGACGTCCTGGAGCCGGCCCCAGCCGGCCCCTGCCTCCCCTCCCCCTTGTCTTGACACACCAGGGGGAAGGGGGGTAACCAGGCCGGCCCGGTTGGCCAGGCCGGCCCGGTTGGCCAGGCCGGCCCGGGTCCAGGCCAGGCGGCCCCACACACAAATGTCCATATTCCGTCAAAAGCGTAAGCCTATACTGGTGGGAGCCGCGGAATATGTTTTTTTCCTCCTGTCTTCAGAGAGGAAGTATGGCGGGTCCTGGCCGGCTGGGAGGACCGGGTCCCAGCAGGCTAGGAGCTCCAGGTCCCAGCAGGCTAGGAGCTCCAGGTCCCAGCAGGCTAGGAGCTCCAGGTCCCAGCAGGCTAGGAGCTCCAGGTCCCAGCAGGCTAGGAGCTCCAGGTCCCAGCAGGCTAGGAGGGCTAGGTCCCAGCAGGCTAGGAGGGCTAGGTCCCAGCAGGCTAGGAGGGCTAGGTCCCAGCAGGCTAGGAGGGCTAGGTCCCAGCACGCTAGGAGGGCTAGGTCCAGCAGGCTAGGAGGGCTAGGTCCCAGCAGGCAAGGAGGGCTAGGTCCCAGCAGGCTAGGAGGGCTAGGTCCCAGCAGGCTAGGAGGGCTAGGTCCCAGCAGGCAAGGAGGGCTAGGTCCCAGCAGGCTAGGAGGGCTAGGTCCCAGCAGGCTAGGAGGGCTAGGTCCCAGCAGGCTAGGAGGGCTAGGTCCCAGCAGGCTAGGAGGGCTAGGTCCCAGCAGGCTAGGAGGGCTAGGTCCCAGCAGGCTAGGAGGGCTAGGTCCCAGCAGGCAAGGAGGGCTAGGTCCCAGCAGGCTAGGAGGGCTAGGTCCCAGCAGGCTAGGAGGGCTAGGTCCCAGCAGGCTAGGAGGGCTAGGTCCCAGCAGGCTAGGAGGGCTAGGTCCCAGCAGGCTAGGAGGGCTAGGTCCCAGCAGGCTAGGAGGGCTAGGTCCCAGCAGGCTAGGAGGGCTAGGTCCCAGCAGGCTAGGAGGGCTAGGTCCCAGCAGGCTAGGAGGGCTAGGTCCCAGCAGGCAAGGAGGGCTAGGTCCCAGCCAGCCTCCTTCAGAAATGGTTGGGTTGTAATTATATATGCAAATGAAAATGACGTCACAAATTCATCGATCATCGCTAAGCCTCTTGTTTCAACATTCATACATTTATTGCTGTATTTCCCCCCCATCATACACCATCGCTATACAGGAATTAATACAACAATTATTTGCATAAGCGATCAAGGGGAAAAAACAGTACGACCAAAAAAAAAATATCCACATGAAAAAAAAACAAAAACAAACGTATTTGAACGTTTTTTTCCAGCACTGCCGTGTGATGGAAGGAGGGACGAAGTGCTGTGGGAGGCGGACGAAGCATAGTGAAATGGCGGGGTAAAAACGTCGTACGTCTGGCCGCGGCGGCTAAGCCTGTGCGGGAGGAGGTACCGCCGGCCCCGGCGCCCGCCGCCGCCCTAGCCTAGCGGCAGGCCTGAAAACTGGCCGACAATCCTCTCTCTCTCCCTCTTCCCTACCTTCTCTACCTTCCCCCTACCTGCCTACCTTCCTACCTTCTCTACCCTCCTCTCTTTACCTTCCGCCGGCCCGCCTGCCTACCAGCCGACCTGTGTACCTTACAGCGCAGTCTCTCTACCTCCCGTTACTGGTGTTCAGACGCTCTACCTCAACTTTCTATTGAGAGTCCCCACTCTAGTCTGGTCAAGAGTCCCCTCTCTAGCCTGGACAAGAGTCAGGAGTCCCCCCCTCCTCCAGCCTGGACAAGAGTCCCCCTCCAGCCTGGTCAAGAGTCCCCCCCCCTCCAGCCTGGACAAGAGTCCCCCTCCAGCCTGGTCAAGAGTCCCCCCCTCCAGCCTAGACAAGTGTCCTCCAGCCTGGACAAGTGTCCCCTCCCCCCTCCTCCAGCCTGGACAAGTGTCCCCCCTCCAGCCTGGACAAGTGTCCCCCTCCAGCCTGGACAAGTCCCCCCTCCAGCCCGGACAAGTCCCCCCTCCAGCCTGGACAAGAGTCCCCCCTCCAGCCTGGACAAGTCCCCCCCTCCTCCAGCCTGGACAAGTCCTCCAGCCTGGACTCCTCCAGCCTGGACAAGAGTCCCCCCCAGCCTCCAGCCTGGACAAGTGTCCCCCTCCAGCCTGGACAAGTGTCCCCCTCCAGCCTGGACAAGTGTCCCCCTCCAGCCTGGACAAGTGTCCCCCTCCAGCCTGGACAAGTGTCCCCCTCCAGCCTGGACAAGTGTCCCCCTCCAGCCTGGACAAGAGTCCCCCTCCAGCCTGGACTGGACAAGTGTCCCCCTCCAGCCTGGACAAGAGTCCCCCTCCAGCCTGGACAAGTGTCCCCCTCCAGCCTGGACAAGTGTCCCCCTCCAGCCTGGACAAGTGTCCCCTGGACAAGTGTCCCCCTCCAGCCTGGACAAGTGTCCCCCTCCAGCCTGGACAAGAGTCCCCCTCCAGCCTGGACAAGAGTCCCCCTCCAGCCTGGACAAAGAGACAAGTGTCCCCCTCCAGCCTGGACAAGTGTCCCCCTCCAGCCTGGACACGTGTCCCCCTCCAGCCTGGACAAGAGTCCCCCTCCAGCCTGGTCAAGAGTCACCCCTCCAGCCTGGACAAGTGTCCCCCTCCAGCCTGGACAAGTGTCCCCCCTCCAGCCTGGACAAGTGTCCCTCCTCCAGCCTGGACAAGTGTCCCCCCTCCAGCCTGGACAAGTGTCCCCCTCCAGCCTGGACAAGTGTCCCTCCTCCAGCCTGGACAAGTGTCCCCCCTCCAGCCTGGACAAGTGTCCCCCTCCAGCCTGGACAAGTGTCCCCCTCCAGCCTGGTCAAGTGTCCCCCTCCAGCCTGGTCAAAAGTCCCCCCTCCAGCCTGGTCAAAAGTCCCCCCTCCAGCCTGGTCAAGGGTCACCCCTCCAGCCTGGTCAAGAGTCACCCCTCCAGCCTGGTCAAGAGTCACCCCTCCAGCCTGGTCAAGAGTCACCCCTCCAGCCTGGTCAAGAGTCACCCCTCCAGCCTGGTCAAGAGTCACCCCTCCAGCCTGGTCAAGAGTCACCCCTCCAGCCTGGTCAAGAGTCACCCCTCCAGCCTGGTCAAGAGTCACCCCTCCAGCCTGGTCAAGAGTCACCCCTCCAGCCTGGACAAGAGTCACCCCTCCAGCCTGGACAAGAGTCACCCCTCCAGCCTGGTCAAGAGTCACCCCTCCAGCCTGGTCAAGAGTCACCCCTCCAGCCTGGACAAGAGTCACCCCTCCAGCCTGGACAAGAGTCCCCCCTCCAGCCTGGACAAGAGTCACCCCTCCAGCCTGGACAAGTCACCCCTCCAGCCTGGTCAAGAGTCACCCCTCCAGCCTGGTCAAGAGTCACCCCTCCAGCCTGGTCAAGAGTCACCCCTCCAGCCTGGTCAAGAGTCACCCCTCCAGCCTGGTCAAGAGTCACCCCTCCAGCCTGGACAAGAGTCACCCCCTCCAGCCTGGTCAAGAGTCCCCCCCTCCAGCCTGGTCAAGAGTCCCCCCCCCTCCAGCCTGGTCAAGAGTCCCCCCTCCTCCAGCCTGGTCAAGAGTCCCCTTCCAGCCTGGACAAGAGTCCCCCCTCCTCCAGCCTGGTCAAGAGTCCCCCCTCCAGCCTGGACAAGAGTCCCCCCTCCTCCAGCCTGGTCAAGAGTCCCCCCTCCAGCCTGGACAAGTGTCCCCCCTCCAGCCTGGTCAAGAGTCCCCCCTCCAGCCTGGACAAGAGTCCCCCTCCAGTACCTGGAGTCCACACTCGTCAACCACAACCCCCTGGTGAAGGGGGGACTCTTGTCCGGGGGGGCCTCGTAGCCTGGTGGATAGCGCGCAGGACTTGTAATTTTGTGGCGCGGGTTCGATTCCCGCACCAGGCAGAAACAAATGGGCAAAGTTTCTTTCACCCTGAATGCCCCTGTTACCTAGCATTAAATAGGTACCTGGGAGTTAGTCAGCTGTCAAGGGCTGCTTCCTGGGGTGTGTGTGTGTGTGTGTGGTTTCGGAAAAAATAGTAGTTAGTAAACAGTTGATTGACAGTTGAGAGGCGGGCCGAAAGAGCAAAGCTCAACCCCCGCAAG